GTTGTTTGGCTGCCAGCTTACGGACACGATTGTTGTACAAGGAAAAACAAGAGTAGAAAAAATTAAAAATTCTTGCTTTTTTGACAAAGCGCCAAAAAAATTATCTATTGTGTTTATATGTGAAAAGTTTGAGTTGCGTAAGAAATCGCTCGTAGAAGGGTTTTCATTTAGGTTTTTTGGTAGAACTGAAGGATTCACAAACACGGCGTGTCGATCGGGACTTCAATAAATGTTGCATATCCTCAGGCGCCCTGCTCTCGGTTACATTTCCGGTCACCCTTGCTGCACACATTGCACGCCTGGTGTAATTTGGAGTTTTGTCAGTTGCTGTGCGCCGTATTTATCGCATGCGACATTTTTTGGGTTTTTAGTATGAAGAAGTGATGTTTCAAGGAAAGTAGTGATGTGTGGGAAATAAAACCACTTGCTAGCATTATAATCTTTTATTTATCATTTTATATGTATTTTCTTTATTATTTCATTCAAAAGTTCATTTAAAATTCTTCAGCCTAAATGGTAAAATACAAATGTCTCTTAATTAAATACTTATTACATATTTATAATAAAAAGTACAATTTTATTAGCTAATGATAGTTGCAGATAGTTAACATAATTAAAAACAAAAGGAATAATTGTTTTCTTAAAGTGGAAAATACATACATATACGGAAACAATAGAATTTTCTTTTTTTTTTTTTGTTTTCTCACTGCTTGGAAGAAACTGCTTTGCAGTGTGTGATTTCCAAGTCGCTTCTAAAATAATGCACCATTCAAGAGATATAATTTTTTACAATATTTAACTTATGTATAAACAAAAGTACATATTTGCTACTTGCAGTCGATTGCACTTTAAAAGTTAATGAATATGGATTTACTCAAGTAAAAGTATATATTTTATAGCAAATAAATTTCTTTATTTTTTTTTTAGATAGTAGGTAGTTACAAAAATTACTAGTTTTAATCGCCGTTTTACAAATACAAATATGCAACGCAATTTTGCTTGCAATACTTAAACTTTATCAACTATTAGAAATTATTTTTAATGTATGTATGTATGTATTCATCTGTACTTACAGATCACTTAAATATTATGTAGTGTTTAGTTTTTATAAAATTACTATATACAATCGGTTTTCTCGTTCATATAAATTTAATGAATTTCATTCTATTTTATTTTTTACTAAATTTTCCTTTTGTGACTTCTTATCTATTTTTTACTTTTTTATGATTATGATTAGTTACAATTTGAGAGATGCAAACATTCTGTATTTAATATATATGTATATGTGTGTGTATCTTCCAGCTACATATTTTGGTATAGGAACAGTCGATAAAAAGAAGTATTGAAATGCAAACTGCGATGGAGAATGTTTTAAAATCTTCGAAAGCTCGCACCTTTTGAGGATTTCGAGCCTTTTATAGTTCTAGCAAATGCTTAAATAACAATTAAAATATAAACATTTTATATTTAAAAATTTTTCTACAATTTTTACGTTTTAACATTCCCTTTTACAACTGATGAGCACACTTTTGATAAACTAGTGCTTAAATGACGACCAAAAATTGTTGGAATTTTATGTTTACTTTTTCGCGTAAACTAAATTAAAAACTACTTCAAGTCAATTTAACATTTGCAAACTGAAAAAAAAAATAAAATAGAATAAAACAATTAAATATCTTAGCCAAATGTGAAGTTCAAAATATCCAAAAAAACGTTGTGTGATTATGATTTTTTTTACCTTTAATATTCCTTTAAACTTCACTTAATCTTTTCTTCGTAGATATTTTATGATATGCGCATACTTTTTTATGTTTGTTGATTTTTTAGTTTTTTTTCCTACGCTAAACCATATTTTATAGTAAATCTATAGTTGTCCAGTTGATATTACAATTTTATATATTTTTTTAAATATTTTATTGTTGTTTTTTCACAAAAATTGTCAATCAAAAGGGCCTCAAGCTCAATAAAATTTCTTCAATATAAATTGTTATTAGGCCATATGAAAAACAAAATTTTTTATATATGTACATATGTATTTTTATATTTTAGATACTAGTTACAAGAAGTAAACTCTGGGCAAAAATAATTTTTTTTTTAAGGTTTCAGAATTCTTTTATCCTGACAAATCTGCTGAAAGACTGAAAAGTTTAGTGCGAAGTTTCTTTAGCAGCTATGCCGAGGAGTATGCATTGTCGAAACTCTAAAATTGAAAAAAGTTGAAAACCGAAAGCATTTTTTTATAAAAATAAGAATACAAATTTTTCAAACTTCGGAAGTTTTCAAGACTTGTATATACATTTTAATGGTGACGTATTTTGAAACGATTTTCCGCCATCCGTAATCAAGCTTGGATAGGAGCCAGATCGGTTTTGCCGTTGTGGTGCCATCCGCGGTGCCATTTTTCCTGCTCAGAACGCCGAAGAATACTTTTCGGCACTTCTCAGAAATAGATTTTGGGGGAAAAAAACAGGTAAGCCGTAGTTGCAACAGAATGAATGCATGCCGCTTTCGAAAATTTATTTTCAACTTGGTCATAAAAAGGTAATTATGTTTATAAATCTGCCCCTCAAATGCAATGGTAAAAACTAATTTGCTTAAATAATTTTCTTTTAATAAATTCATATAATTTCGTTGGCCCAAAAATATTTGCATATTTTACAAGTATACGAACATACGTACATATGTAAATAGTTATATCGTCGTCAATAAAAAAAGGCCTAAATAACAATGCGAAAAATTAATGGAGAAAAATTATATCAGCATGTATGTACATATAAGAGTCTCGATGCTCCAAAATCTACCTTCTTGCTTAGTTTACTTAATTTCTAGTCTAAATTGTTTTTTTTTTTCACAATTATGCTTTCGAAATTATTAAAGGATTTTAAAATTTTAAAAAAGAAAAAAAAAACGATCACCTGGTTAGTGTTACAACCTTCAATTTGAGTTTATCTATTGCATGAAAATTATATTTTTTTAAAAGATTCTTTTTAATTTCTGTTATTTAGAAAAGCAATAAAATAATACATAATTCGCACAAAAAAGTATATTTTGTTAAAAAAAAATATTTTCAAAAATAATCTATAGAAATTTTTTTTTAGAAAAGTTCTGATTTCTCATTTGAAAAAAAAAAAAAAATCAAAAACAAAAAAGTTATGGTGTTACAACCTTATTAAATGAAAACAAAATTTCACTATTTTTATCAAGTTTTTTTTTCATATCTGATTTCTTTAACTAGATTTTTTTCAAAAAAAGGAGAAAAATCTTTTTTAAAAAAAGTATATTTTAAAAGAAAACCATTTTTGAAAACTCTGATTTCTTTTTTTTTTTCATAAAAAGAATTTAAAAAATAAAGCTTCTACAAATTTTTCTTAAAAAATACATATCGCACGTTTAATATAGAGATGTAAGTCAAAATTCACGTTTTTGGAGATTTCAAATACAATCAATAAACTTGATAAGGAGAATATGTTCAGCTTAACAGATTACAAAACTTCCAAAAAAAGGCCAAAAATGGTATACCAACTGTATGAACTGATAAAACTTTGATTGCGTTTTCTCACAAAATTGAAATTTTGAAATACTTTGTTATATTATTAAACGTGCGATATGTGTTTTTGAAACAAATATAAAACTTTTATTTACAAAAAATTGTCACATCTAATTGCAGTAAAAACAAACTGATAAAATTTAAATAGTTTTATAATGAAACAATAGTTAGAAAATAAAGATACATTAATTGTATAAAAAAATTAGTTTCTGAAATTATTTTTTTAAATTAAAATTATTTTTTAAAAGGAAATATTTTTGAAAATAAAATTATTTATGAGAAAAATAAGACGATAAAGAAGATTCTCTTTCAAAAACTGATATTTTTTAGATTGGTAGATAGATGCATTTAAGAAATTTTCAAAAACAAAAATTTTAGTAAATTATTCTTAAAAAAATGCATCTTTGGAACAAATATTTTAATTTTAAAACTTTTTTACACGTACATAATTGCAGTATCAAAAAACTGATGAAATTCATATGAAATAATTTTGTAGCGTCACAACAGACCGATTTTAAATTTTACAGGTTATGGCGTCGATTTCGAATCCTACAAATTATTTTTCTAAAATGTAATTTTACAAATTTTTTACGCCTAATTGCAAGTGTAACGAAACAATAGATGGAAAAAATACGTTGATTATACATGCATATAAAAAATTGGTTTTTAAACAAGTATAGTTTTTTGGATTATAAAAAAATCGTTTAAAAAAAAAAAAATACATACATACATATATTTTTTCAAAGAAATTATTGAAAACAAAATTAAAAATACACTTCCAAAAACTGATTTATTTTTTACAAAAAATCCACATATTAAAAAAAATATCCAAAACAAAAATGTCCAAAAATTATTTAAAAGATACGTGCTTTTGAAATAAACTTAAAAAATAAAGTATTTTTTTTTTTAATTTTTACATACAATATGCTTCGATTTCGAATACTACAGATTATTTTACCAGTCGTTGCCGCTTTCGAAGATTACTATCATTAGTTGGCATAAATTTAAAATTTTTTGGTAACAAAAACTCTGCACATGTTTATAAACTGATTCGATAACGACAGTCGGGTCCACGCAACCGGCATGATCCAGATTTTTAGCTGGCAGAACACTGTTTCTTTGGGGAATTTTTATGTTGTTAAAACAAAAACATTCACATTTTTGCTTTGTGTTAGATAAAAATTCAATTGCTTCCATGCGAATATTTTCATAACTAAAATTCTTTTCATACATACTATGTACATTAAATATTGAATACAAATTTCTCAAAATCATACCAAAAACAAAAAAAACAACCGAATACTGCAACCAAACTGCGGTTTTAAATTCGCTGAAATGGAAAGTGTTGGGAGAAAGCTAATAAATTTACATACATACTTTATGACACGTTTTAAGTTAAAATATTTACTATAAAATTTTCAATTTTTGAAGCCACTTTTATGTGCGCTTTTCATTAAATGCCAATGTGTTGGTACGAACTTTTTAATAATTTTTTTTTCTTTGAATATTTATGTTCTATTTCCAGTAGTTCGACTATGCAACTAGTCACAGCTGAAATTAAAAAAATAAGAATTTGCAAATTTCTCGCTATTTGGTACAATTAAAACATAATTTTCATAAGTCACTATCAGTGCTATGACTTTTATTAAACGCTTGCTCCTTCATAGTATTACTATACGTAATGTAGTAGTATATATATTTTTTTATGATTTCTTCGTTTCTATATTTTATGGCTACGAAACTTCCAAAATTACCACCAAACGTTTTACTACTAATTTTCTGTTTTTTTTTGGAATGGACGTTTTAAGTGTTTTTTTGTTTGTTTATTTTTTTGTCTCTCTTCTACTACAAAAACATGTCGTTTGCTTGCTACTCCTAAATACTAAATATTTACAAGAAATTCCAACTTGATTTATGTAATCATACATATTTTTCGCTCTCAGCTGTATGATATTCGTAAACACATCTGTGCTCATTGCATACATATGTATATAGTATGTGTGTATGTTACTGTATCCAGTATGATGTATCCATGCATATTCAGCAATTATGCATCCATCGTATTTTATTAAAATTTTTTTCTCTTTAATCATAGGGAAGACTTTGCAAAGATAATACGAATTACTTTGTTGTTGCAGACACTTGAACAAGCATGCATGCAATAATTTTCATTTTGAAACTTTTTTATACGTATGTTATGCGTTTCACATATGTATGTTGATACTACATAGTATTTCAATGCATATCTGTAACTCATTTTTTATCCTTCCGTTTACGGCAAATTTATAAAATAAACTTTACAATATGTATGTAGTTACAAATTACTTAATATGTAGAACAAAATATTTTAGTAGTAAAAATCATATACATATTTATGTAGGTATGTACATATGTATGTATGTATGTATAATAGTTATAGTAATCAGCAAACATTAGTGTGAAACAATAAAAAGTTAACTAACATGTAAAAAAAATTCTTTTATATTTTATATATGACAACTATCTATCTAACTAATTGTAAATATCATGATTAGAAACAACAACAACTAATGTGCTTGCCACTTAAATTTCGATTCCATCAACCATTGTTGACCCTTTGAATAGTCGCATGGGCGTAACAGCGGCGTCACTGGATCACTACGTGATGGACGTTGCAGGCAATTGCCAGTGTTTGTGTGTCGTATCGTTTTATCCTGTGCGGGAAGAGAAAGTAAATACACACATACATGCATAGGTAAATGTTAAGTAATTGGCAACGTTATTTTCATATTAACACATTTTAGTAATAAACGAGTGTAATGTAATTATAATTAATGGTAAAAGAACTTTGCTCGCTTAACGGCAGTGTGGAACAATGAAAAAAAATGTGTATGCAAGTGTATAGAGGTGTTTTGAACGCCAAGAGTAATTGGGGCACTTAAACTTCGTTCCCTGTAATAATATCTATAGTCTGAAAATTTGCACTTAGTTTATCTTTGTTGTTGTTGTAATGTACTCCACTCTGCTTAAATCTTGTAATTTTTGATTCGCTTTCGTTAAGCTTATTGACGGCAGGCTCAGGGCGGCGGCCACGGCTAAGATGTGTTAGATGAGATTCTCAATATGATTGGTCCTATTATACTGGAATCACTCGGTGGCATGCCTCCGACCAAAGTCCATCATTTCAGAACCAAAACTGCATTTTTTTGTCATGGGGGGGTACGCCAAATCCATATGCTAGTCTACTCCATACACCTCTGAACAGCGCCGGCATTGAACAAAACCCGGACCATGATGGTCATGTGGTGTTTGAAGAAGATATATCTACTATTTCTCGACCTACTTGCCTGGTACGCCTGCTTCAACTGGTACCAATTAAAGACTTGTTCCCAGAGCTCGTTGACTAGACATTTTGCATGGCAAATTACAATGCCCCAACAGGGTTACAGGTAGCCTCGCCAAACATCGCTATCGTAAAAGGGAATAGGATAAATTTCATTGGTTGGTAACCAGTGCTTACGCTCGATTCTGGCCACCTGCCCAGATAAGACAATATTGACCAGCCTCATGACGTCGTCACTTTCATAAACACCTAGCGCTAAAAACTAAAGTGCTAGACCCGAGCGGAATATCGATACTGATGCTGAAGAAACAAGTACAGCGGGAGTCGAATACTTTAACGCAGCATAAGTGTCTCGGCCCCCTCGATCACCACCGAAATGTGAAAATGGCAGGGTCGTGGCCCTCTTGAAACATGGAAAGAAGGCGCATCTTGGATGATCATATAAGCCAGGCTCCTTTATATGCTTAGCAGCATGGATTATACACCACAGTGGCCGACATTTAGGGTTATTATTTTTAGGGTTAAGCCAGAGATGAATTATAATATCACTAATTGCAGAAGCGGGGATCGAATATATCCATCTTTTAGAAGCCCCAATCTCTAAAAAAATACTCCGAATTCAAATAAGAAATACAACTTGTTTCATAAAACAGAGTGGCCGGTAAAATTGTAAAGAAAACGTGTGTGAAGGTTTAATCACTTGATTTTTGTTACATATCTCAATATCTAGTGCGCACTTAAGTTAATATGCCGTCCACTCCCATTGCCGTCTATAATAGCTTGGCATCGTCTTGAGCAGCTTCCGCTTAGTTTTCTAGCGTAATCTGAAGACAGATCCCTCCACTTGAGAGAGTTCCCCTGATCTCATAGGCTGACGACTGCGCGATATTGGCGTCTGGAAATGGAATTGATGACCTCTGCTCAAAAGTAAACGGCTATCTCTCCAGACTTTCTCGCTTCTTCACTGCAAAAAGCTTAACACTCTCAACAACGAACTCAACGGCGACCCTCTTCACCACCTGAATGAAGAAGGCAGACTTCAATTAGGCATTCACGTCGATGGCACACCAATTCTGACAGTGAACAATCCAAAAATTTTAGGGGTCACCTTTGATATCCAACAGACCCTTGCTAGAGAAGGACCCTCCGCCCAGGCACGTCAGGGGGCACCTATTCATCTATAAGGATGCGGTCCAGACCTACATCGACCAACCACTGGACATGACGACTTACGGACGAGCGATCAACGGCATTCATAGGGAGTCGGTCACCACCTACCACCACTCGCGGCCTATGAATGCCGTCATCGGAGCCCAATCACGCGCACGGTACTTCAACTGCCAAGAGAGACCCGCCTTAACCTGGATACTTTAGCCGCCTCAACAGCTACCTGTCCAGACTCGACTCCAATATCCCCAATGAGTGTGTGGAAAGTGGAGACTTCCCGCACGATACCAACCACCTCTTCACATGCCAGTTCAATCCCACTAAACTAACACCCTCTCTCCCTTTGGTCCGACCCTATGTAAACTGTTCAATCCTGGGCATACCGTTAGTTGAGCTTCACGACAATGATTGAAGGATGAACCGAAATAGGCGGGGCTTAGTAGTGCAGCTACAGCAACAACAACAGACCCATCCGAATTTTTTAACGTCGTGGCAAGTTGTTTTATTGTAGACATTCTCTTTCCCAATTCTTCACTTTCATTAGAGCAAACACATTTTCAATAGGATTTGTATCCGGACTCTGCGAAAGCCAATCAAGCTGTCGTATGCCTTTTTATGCTTTCCATGATGTGCATAATCGACTCCAGTATTTTGGATCATTGTCTTCATGAAGGATCCAATCATTTGTATTCGTGTGTTCTCCGATTTCTGATGTCAGATTCTTTCAATCTCCGTCTGATTGTGCAAGTGGAAAAGTTTATAATTTTTGACGAATGCCTTTGTTTCCGATCATTTCTTTTTGAAGTAGTTTAAGTCAAACCTCTACCAGAATTGTCATCGACATTGCCATCTTTAGGTACATACTTTGCGGCCGCAGTTATTGATAATTTCTGGTCTTTGGGATGACTTACCAGGAAAGCAGCTTCATAACGCTTCTTATATAAAGCACTAATTTCTTTAACAAGCAACCACTTTGTATTTCAACACAAAAATGAATTACTCACTGCACTGCGTAGTTAGAGTTCAACAGGTCTATTCTGCACGTTACCAAAGATTTTGTAACCGGAAAATGTTATTACCAAAAAATGTTACCAGTTCTTGTCAGCGCGTCTAGGTACGTTGGTAATGCAGTTAAAATATTCAGCATTTCAGCAGAATTGTGGAAATTCTGGCATTGCATATTCCACGGGGCAACACTTAGTTACCACCTTATGAGATGGTAACAAAATTTACCGGTTACAAGAATACACAGAATGGGAAAAGGGTTTAAAAATTGACGGGAACTTTATTTCGCGATTACAAAATGTTTATTACCGGCGCAGAATAGACCTGTAAATGTATTTTATAGTTTATTGCACGATAAAATTATAGGAAGGTAGAACCGCTGAGAGACCCTTTCAGAATTTTGACGTTTTCAAGCATTTTAATTTTAAAATTTACTCACAAACTCACACACATTAGTTGCGCTCCAGCAGCAGTATGATTAGCAGACAAATTTCCTGTAACTGAGAGCAATTTCGTGAGAGTAAAATATGCTTACTCTCTGTATGAAGTTGCAGGATTTAGTCCGAAGTTTTTCTTCCTGCAAATTCATGAAAACTGTCATATGAAGAGCAGTGTTGCATTCGTAAATTATCAAGTGAAAGAGTGATGCAATTTATAAGAAATATTTTTAGCAGAATAGAAGGTAATTGTACCAAAATAACGAAAGCTTTTGAGAATTAAAATGTTGTGTGGAAGAACTTTTGTCTGAATAAATAATTCTGTAAACAAACAACTGACATTTATATAGCTGTAGGAAAAATGGTTTTTTGCGTTCCAGCAATTTTTCTCAGTTCTTCGACCGTGGCTCTCTCTTGTGCGAGATAGTTTTTTGACAGTTCTACACGTATTCTCATTTCCAATCTCAAACAACAAAAATGTTGAACAACACCACCTTATATAAATTCGCCTTGGTTTTATATGATTTTAAAATGCCGGCAAACTTCAAAAAAAAAAAAAAAAAAAAAATCATGGCCGACGAGTTGAGAGAACGGTTCTACCTTACTATGTTTTTATCATGGTTTATTACTTTGTTGGTTGAGTTATCATACGCAGCCTACTACTATGTTTGGCAAATACGTTTTGTGAAACACACTTCAATATAAAATCGCATATATTTATGCTTCTGCAAACTCACCTCGGCATCGTAAACCCATTCCTGATTGCCACCCATATTATGGCAACGCACCATATTCACCGGACCCATCGCATTCGCTGCGTCCAGGCATAGATCATCGGACATGATCTGTTGTCGTTTCGTATAGGCGAATACCTGATTGCCACCCAGCCCGTGGCAATAGCTCACGCCTACCTTTTCGCTATATTTGCGGCCCATCGTATCGAGACACGTCTCTGTTTCGGCGTTACGAATCTGTGTGTGAAAGTGTAGAAAATAATGTTTGAATAAAATATTGTAGAAACTTGTATTAAATATTTCCATGCTCTCACCTCGCCCAAGTAGTAATAGTCTAATGGCATCAAACTTTCCGGATATATATTTTCCAAATACCACCGGAAGCTTTTACATTTTAGTCGTTCACGCAACGCACGACGATCACTCACATCACCAGCGACAGCTTTGCGTGCTCCTGTTTAGTGTTGGTTTTGTTTTTTTGTTTTTGTTGAAATAAAGAACGAGAATGTAAAAATAAAGCAAATAATGCATGTTAATAAAATGTTTCATCACGTTTTAATGAGGCAACAAATTTGAAAAAAGGAGTTAAAGAACAAAAATATGTAAGTATGAAGTATGCGTAAATGTTTGTGAGTGAAATTAGTGCCTTGTGTTAAATATTTAAAGTGGTGTAAGGTAAATTTGTAAATGGTATTCCTATGCATTGTGAAAGCTAATGTGTTGAAGTATTTTTGGTGCAAGTGTATTTGTATATGAAGATATGCTGTAACATTTATGCTAAGAATCTCGACTAACAATACAATAACTATGATTATATTTTTTCATTATTTTAGACGAGTCAGAAATTATATAGCCAATGCAATTATCCACTACATATGTGATTCAGCTACTTAGTAAGTAGTTAAATCTGTATTGAGAGCAAGAATTAATCTTGATTTTCTTATGTTCCATTCATGTGGCCTGAATATGTTATCATCGTTGTGTTACAAGTGTCAGTGCGTTTCCATCTGGTACAGTTTTTTTTAAGCCAAATTTTCACTTACGCAATTCTGGCTAAAATAGTCGCAAGTTTTTTTTTTTTTTATATTGGCAGGCAAAATCTGTGGTAAAAACATGTAGGTCCTATTAAAAAAAAAAGGATTTCCGGTCAGTTCAAACCACATCCAAGTTTTAATCCATTTAGAACAAATCAACAAACTTTGGAAAAAAATTTCGAGCTTTTTAATTAGATTTCTTAGAAATATTTTGAGTATGCATTTTTTAGTAAGGCACATTGAACACGTAGTATCAGTAGCGCAGCTGATTTGATTTTTTTTTTAATTATTTGGTATCGAAAATGTCTCAACTCAAAATCCAACTGGATCATTGTTATCGGCAGCGAATGAAGAACAAAACTCTCTTCAAATTTAAAAGAAAAAATTTCACTACTAAGTATTTAAAAATGTACTTAAAAATTGCAAAGCAATTTCGAAAAAAATATCATTGTTTTTATTTCTAGGAGTAAAGTGGGATCGTAGCTGATAAAATCTCATTATGAATGATGGTAGATAAGGAAGAAAATTATTGACATCGTCATCGAAAAAAAATCTTAAAAATCAGCGGTGTAAGTCCCCTGCAAACCAAAGTTCCCGAAATCTTAACGAAATCTTTAGGAGTATCTCATTTCTGTAACGAATCGTAAAGAAATTTCTCTACGAAAAATAAAGAAAATTCTGAAAAAATATGCAAGAAATTCTTCACATAGCAGCATTATTTTCATGGCTTTAGCGATTTTCTTCCGAAATTTCGTAAAAGAATCGATGTGTGGTGCACAGTTTATTTCATTTTAGAAAATTCGGCAAAAAATCGGATGAGATCTTTACGAGTTCTTTAAAATTTCTCTACAATTCAGAATACTCTGAAAAAATGGTTTACAGGGTCCTAGCTACTTCAAACTTTTACTATGGTATACCAAAATGGAATTGGCTACGAAACTGCATACCCAAAATTTATCTAAGAAATTAAAAGTTTGTTGTTTTCTTTTTTTTTTAATATTGCTTAAAGATTGAAGCTTGGATTTATACGGATTTTGTTAAAGAATAATGTAGGTATATTTTTATAAAAAATTACTAAAATTAGGAAATCATAAAATAAATAGTCAAAACTGGTCGATATGTGAGTGTTGTAAGTCCTTGAATATAACGTTAACGGTACAGAAACCGTAGCGGTATAATACTTTTTCGACTTAGTAGCTGGTTCCAAAGCCGAGTTTGTAGATTTTTTAAGAGTTATTTTAATTTATGTCAGGCTCATAAATTTACAACTGATTGGTGCAACCGGGCATGAAGATTATAAACTGTAAAACAACTAAATATTCATTGGCTATATAAGTTCTTCTAACATCTAGGTATATTTTTTAATTTACAAATTCATTGTTTTACCCACGAGTGTTTTGCTCATGAGTGTCGTTATTTTAGTGTTAGTACTTAGAACCAAATATTAATAATATATGCTTAACATACATATGTACATAATAAATTTAGATAAATAGTATACACAAATACAGTAAGCGAAATGAAGAATTAAGCGCATTGCAACAGGCAAACAGTTAATATAAACGCATAGAAGCATAAAAAGCTCATACAAACATGACAAACCATTTGATATGTACAAAAAACAACGAAATAAATTGTATATCTATTAAGTTTTTTTTTTGTTCACAAGAAAAGATTAAAAGCTTAGTACATAAGAAAAGTTCGGAAAATCTAATTCTAAAATGCGCCAATCAAGTTGGCTATAACCAAAACTAAAGTATATAACAAAGAACAAGTCAACAGTTGTAGGAAGACGGGACGCAGGACAACGCTTTTGCATAACTTTAAAGCTAGGACAGGGACACATAAAGGCAGCCAGGTATGCATGTATTAAAATACGACTAAGAGGCAACTTGCAACAGGCACAAATAAATTATAAACGAAACAGGATGTGAACTATACGGGACCAGTGTGGGAGAGGGGGACAGAAGACGTGTAACCAGGAGCATGGTGAAGGCATGCTCATGTACATATGTCCAGGGGTGGTGAGTGGAGTGGCGAATGCAGTGTATTTACGAGCATACATACATCAGATGCATGTTTACAGAATGTTGCATATGGTGGCTATGTTTTGCGAAAGATTATTTTCTATGTAACTGAGGCTGGTTTTGCTAAATTCAAATTTTTATACATATATATATTTTTTAATATTCATTCTTTGAATCTATTTAATTAGTCGAACTTAGCAAAAAATCCAACCAAAATCGAAATTAAAATTTCAACGCACACGCAAAAATGTGTAAGAACTATTTAGACAGACAAAACAAAGACATTAAAACATAAACGCTAGTATTAAATATATATGTATGTATGTACATAAACTAGGCGACAAATGAAAGTGTACGCCTTGTTCTAATATAATATTTACAATTATTTTCATAAAAAATTTTTTGCGCTAATTATTTTTGAATATATAGTTCATGAGCTACAAAACTCCATACTCGAAAATTTTCTAGAAATTCTGAATAAAAAGTTGAATATTGTTTGAATTTTTGTGAACTTTACATAAAGCGTGAACCTTCGATTTACATGGTTTATATTGTCGAATTAACTATATTTTCATAAATAATTAATGCAAAAATTTTTTCATGAAAATATTGTAAATATTTAGTTAGAACAAGGTGTACACTTTCTTTTTTCGCCTAGTGTATGTACAAAATTGTGCGTATAATTGCCGAGAGAGAGAGAGATAGAGACAGAGCAATGTAGTATAGAGTTAAGGCTCTGTTATGCATACTTGGCATTGCATGCACTGCTATACCATTTTTACGTAGAAATCAAAAACCAACAGACTTTTACGTATGTAATGCTGTGCGTTGGGTAACCGCTTACACGCGAAGCTCATTTAACAGATTCCTTATGTGACAACGCTCAAGCAATGCCAAGTATGCATAACGGAGCCTTTAACGATGTGGGGAAGTACTGTGCATTTCGTTGTTTTTGTTGTTGTTAACCTGGATAGAAACTGTAGTAAAATTCTTTCCAATCGTCCAGCCACACTTCAACCAGACGCGCATTATTATGATTGACAATTTCCGTTGTGCCACCGGGGAAGGTGTACGGCGTCGATTTACGAAACACGTGACCCACACGTGAACAGGGCGCAATCTCGAGCACACCACCGCACATCCAAACCTAAGCGCACGACGAAATCGAGCAAAATAACCAACCAACCAACCAAACGAATTTCAAGAAGCGGCGACACGGATGCACATGCGTGAATGCGCGGGCAGGCAGTTGTTGTTGTTGTTGTTGTTGCAAGTGAACGTAATTACGTTGGTTGTTTTTATTTCGTTGAGCGATTTGTGTTTTTTATATTTTTTCGTTATGTTTATTTAGAAAATAAAATTTTAATGGGTATTGTTGTTGTAGTGTTTGCAGTTGTTGCATTGTTGTTAGCACCGTAATTAATGTTATTATTTTATTAGCCCCAACATAGTAGTAGCAATACACGTTAATTAGTTACGCATTTGGTTAAGCAATTAACATTGGAAGAGGCGAGGGAGACGCGAATGAGCGAGCGAGTGAAAAAAGAGAAAAAAAAACATAAATGATAAAGAATATTTAGACATTTTCTATTCAACGTTATTATTATATGTATGTATGTAGGCAACTAATTATGTTTACATTGGTAAAAGCTTAAACTACATTTTTTTATTGTTCAATGTTGTAAAAATTATTCAATCAATTTTTTCGCGAATGGCCAACCAATAATTTATAATGCGGCTGATGTACTACTTGTATCAGATGCAAAAAAAAAATACAAATAGAATTGATGTAAAATATGCATAAAATATTAGGCGCAATAAAAGTGGGGTTATCAGCTGGTACGACTTTTTTTTGTTTCAGTTCCGTAAACCAAAGCGTACTTTGTAGCTTTTGACTATTACCTTATGGGATCATACGTTAAAAAAGCACTTGCCTTTTGTTAAGCTAGGATTTGCAATAAAAAAAAAACGGAAAAATTGCTTCTATACCACGTTTTTTATTACTTTATTCACTTAACCTATGAAAAAAAAATCATAAATAAAATAAACATTTCGGGGATACAGTTTGGTAGCCCATTCAAATTTAGTATAACAAAGTGCAAGTTTCAAGTGGTTACAAAATACCGTTGATTTTTGACAATTTTTTTTTGTTGACAGTGTCATGCATTTCCTTCCATACAGAATATGCTCGACAAAATTTTTATATGCAAGAAAATGCGCAGAACCATCAAAAAAAAAATGTCAAAAATCAACGGTATTTTGTAGCCACTTTAAACTTGCACTTTATTATATTAAAGCTACAAATTGCATACCCAAAAGTTTTCTAAAAATATTATAACCTATGCACAGCAGGTCATTAGCATAGCTCACCCATTTGTTGACATGTCTTTTAA